AAATAAGAATGTGTATTCCTAATATTGTTAAAATTAATTAGTTCCTAATGAGTATCAATTAGTACCACATAAGTATCAATTAGTTCTACGGGAATCTAATTGGATGTTATTGATTTTTTTACAATAAATTTTAAATATTTAGCAATAAAATGGTTACATTGAGCTAAAAAACATCGGAATTGACAAGTTCCAGGTACTAATGATATTTATTGAAACATCAGAATTGAGGTCTGGGTTTAAATTTATTGAAATTTGAAATTTAAGATGAGATTTAAGATTTAAAATTTATTTAAATTTTTTTTGCAAACTAAACTACCTGACAATCTAATTTTAACAATATTTTTATTATTTATTATTTAATCTAAACTATATTTTGAATATAATCTCCCCAACTGATCATATCTACAAGGTGTCCTAAAAGCAAGTTGTGTCCAACAAAATCCCTTGAATATTGGAGGTTGCTAACAAACAGTCAATTATTTAAACCTCATTTATTTAAACAACATCAAAATCGATCAATGAATACCCTTGTTGGATAACAAAAACAATGAGGTTTGGAGTATTACAAAAAAGTCGATTAAAAAAAAACAGTCGACTACTTACAAAGGAGGAACGTCGAAATTTGGAAGATTTTAGAAGGAGGATTTGAGAAGTAACGTCGATGGATGATTTCAATTTTTGATTTCAAGGGATTTTGTACCCGAAAGCTTAAAGGGATTTTGCCGAAGGAATGCCAGAATCTAAAATTGGGATTTTGTACCCAATTTCAATTTGAAATCACACAGAATTCAATTGAAGCTTCAAAATTGAAATCACACAATCACCTAGAATTTCAATTTTTTATTTCAAGGGATTTTGCCTAAAGCTATCCACCCATTGAAATCAAGGGATTTTGATTTCAACTAGAGGAATCGGAAATCACGAAGCTAGGAGATTGTGTACCCCAAGAGGGACACCGAAAGCTTACCCGAAGGAGGTTATTTAGGTTTTGGCAAGAGTGGGAAGAGGGATGCCGAAGATTATGTACGCCGAAGAGGGACGCCGAAAGCTTGAGGCGCACGAGGCTTGAAGGGCTTGAGACTTGATTGAATCAAATTTTATTTGATTTTAGGAAGGAAGAGTAAGAGCAGGTGTGGGAAGAATGAGTTAAGGGCAAAAGTGGGAAGGAGTCATTTGAGTTGCCTTCCGAAATGGATCCTAATATGATATTAATCTTCAACTACTCCATCTATAATTTTAAAGACAGTACTTTACAGCTTCAATCTTTATTTTTCCACTTTTCTAATTTGATTTTACGTTTTTTTAGTCTATTTTACACTTTGATTCGATCTTTTTTTTTTTAATTTCAAAGTATTCAACATATTTATCTTACAAATTTGGAAATTTGGAAATATATATGTTATTTAAAATTTTTGAACTCTATAATTTCCATTCACTATCTTCTTTCCTATAATTTAGGTTCACTACAGATTTATTGAAAGGTAGTTTCGTCTCGAATTTATAGGGGTAATGGTAGGATAAATTTACCTATTTTGATGGGAGGGTAAATTTGCCTAAATAAAATCACGTAATTAGCTCTAACTGTACTTTAGCTATTTTTCTGATATTTGATTATTTTGGCCATTTTTCAAATCAAACTATTTAATTTAGCTACTCTAGTTGCCCATTTTCTTTTCGTGCTATGAGCCCAACCCTAATCATCATGGTGCAAAAAGGCCCAGCCCAGCGCAGGAAATGAACTCGGCCAATCGAGTTAACTCGTTCCAAAACTCCGAGTGAACTCACCGGGTTAATCTCGATTTCGGATTGTGTTCTTCGTCCCTTCCGCAGGCGGCTATCCTTAATCCATTAAAACCCCCTCCTTCACCAACTGCTCTCTCCCCTTTTACTTTCTCTCTCTAAAATCTCCCATTCCATTCCTTTCCATTCCACTGATAGAGAGAGAGAGAATCAGAATTTAGAATTCAGAATTCGGAATCCTCCCTCTTCCTCTCCATGAAAATTTAGGGAAAACGGAATTGGATTAAGCGTTATCCGGAGCTGCGGAGAGAAAAAGAAATGGCTCATGCGGTGTTCCAGACGGCGCAAATCATGCCCATTAACACCCAGCTTCCCACCACCAAGCTATGGCTGCCGCCGCCGCCGCCGCTTGTAAAGCTCGGTCCCTCTCAGACCCCACGGAGCAAACCAGTTCTGGTGGTGAAGGCTTTCACCACTTCTTCTCCATCCTCGTCTTCTTCGGCCGTTTCAGATGGGGATTCCATTGCTCTGTTGGAGCGTTGCTTTGTAGCACCGTCGGCACCTGCCGCCACATCTTCCTCCTCTCTCGGTCCTGTTATGAAAGGCCAATATGGTTCCCTTGGGTCTGTTACCTTGGAGAAATCGAAGCTTGATTTATCTCAGAAGCAATCAAAGTCCAGTCCCGAGGCAAGTTTTTTCAGTCTTTTTTATTGAATCTTTATGTTGTTGGAAAAGCAGCTTTAGCTTTATATTATGTATCATTTTTGGTTCCTTTTCTGTATCCATTAAAACTTGGAAACTTTTGCAACTTACATATCAGGCAGTTGACATTGTTTAATCTCTAATGGCTAATTGTTGGATTTTTTTGTAAGAAACAAAATATAAAAGTGGCAATGAATCTGGGTTTGCCATATTTTCTTTTCTTTTTGGACAAGAGTCTATTAGATCACCATTGATGAATATGTGTCCACTTCTCATGTTTTTTGGGTGATAGACTTGTGGTTGGATAGACGTGGTGATTTCCACTAGTTGTTGACCGAAAACATGAACTCGCCTCATTCTGACCATCTTTGCTTCTTATTTCTCAGGTTTGATTTATCATTATCTCGTAAACTTCTTTTAGCATCTTAGTAAAATAACAACCTTGAAAGTTCCAACTTTTTTTTTTGGGGGAAAGAAATGCTTCGGGGCTAACGATAGTTTATTTCAGTTTCGAACCTTTTATTTACAGAACTTTTATAAAGAACGATTTTTGGGTGGTTTATAAAGAATAAGATTGTTGTGCACTTGAAATCATTATTCACAAATACATGATTTTGGAAGGAAGCACAACTTTTGTTGTTCAAAAAAGTAGGCCATCCATGAAATCAAGCTAATCTGCAATTGTTTCAGATTGATGGCTTACTCGTGTTCTCTTGGCCTCCCTCTCCAATCTCCCACTCTCTGACCTCTCTATGGCTTCCACCCTCTTCCCTTGGTTGTCACCTTTATCCTTCCTAGCACTTCACCCTCTTAGGGTAGAATTACTCACGATGCTCCACCACAGTTGATAGTAAATCCTTCTCAATCTTGGTTGATGGTAAACTCAAAGGAAATCGTGCTAGGATTACAGAGTTTAGACAAAACTCTTCTTTCTCCGTCTCAATAAACTAGATCTCTCTCAACTGGCTTTAATCAGTGTTTAAAAATATTGTTAGATTCACCTTTCACCTTCCAAATTTTCAAGAAACATAGAATTATGAAGACTATGTTATCTGGGCAGAAAAGATTAAAGCTTTCAAGCAAAATAGGTTTTGTTATGGAGATAACAAAGTTTTTACAACAGTGGTGGATAAAGCAAAACCATAACCCTTCTAGAGAAGGCAAGAAGGGTGGGTCATCGTTTCATTCCCTGATCCAAAATTTTCTAGAGAAAAGAAGTGTGACGAATGATAGCCCGGTCACCCTCTCCCTATTCTTATAAAGATAAATTGTTGAAAGGTATTATGACCCTGAGAATGTTACCCTCAAGAATGAAAAATTTCTTCCCAACTGCATTAATGGTCTTCCACTGGCCAATGACCCTAAAGCACGAGTCTATGTGGGTTGATGACACACTAGTTAGTTGAGTGTGTGCCATTTGACTAAAAGAGCATTGATCCTCTCTTTCGAAGCCCCAATATTGAGACCACCAAACACTCAAGGAAGAGCAGCCCAATAGCATTCAACAAGTGACATCCGTGGTATTGATGAGGACCCTTCCAAAATAGTTCCCTTATAATAATCTTTACAAGACTGGCAATCACTTCGGAAGGAATTTTTAGGAGGGAGGAGAGATTGAGAGGGACACTCGGTAAAACTGATTATGAGTCTCCCTCCTTTTGAACTATGAATATTCCTCCACTTGTCCAGCTTAGATCTGGGATTTTTGGCTATTGGGTAATGGGTTCCAAAAGGATGAGCTCTTGGGTTTCCTCCAAGTGGGAAGCCTAGGGAGTTGAAGGGAAAAGATTCTGCCTTGCTTCCCATCCTGTCTGCTTTCTACTTTGTCCCTTATCTCTTCAGGACCCTTCCAAACATCTTGAAACAATCTCTTATTCTTTCTAATCAAAGTTGCCAAGAAAATGACCCTACTAGCATTTAACTGAAAGACCTTGACAGTATTTTTTGAAATCAAAACAGCAGAGGAGGATTTAGAATATGTCGTGCACCATTTAAGGAAGGTCATTTGCACTGAAAAAATGTAAAGTTAAGAAGTTTTCACTCAATATAAATAGGGAAGGTGAACTGCATCCAGAAAATAGAAAAAGTTTCCCTCAAAACTGGAGACAGGAGCAATCCAGAAACATCTGATTGGCATCATCATAGAATTCTCTTCAGAAAACGCCCCAATCAAGAAAATTTGCGGAAGGATCCCGGCTTGTATTTTATTGTTGTACCCAATGATACGATTAAGAACAATCATGGATATCTATTTTTTAATTAGAAATAGAAACTTTTATCACAAGGGGGAAAGGAACAACCTAAAAGCCAAGGAGATGGAGAATCCATTTGCTTAGTAGATGGGTCCAACAAAACACATCCAATCTAAGCTATACAGAAGCAGAGTATCTACAAGAAGTGTTGTCTAGACTGTTCAATCTCTCAGAAGTCAGCAAAACTCGTGTTTATTGTTGAAAATCCTGTTGTTTCTTTCTTTCTTAATGAACCACAAATTGGAGAAGTTTTTTGTAACTCCTTTGGATAGGGTCGGCCCCCCCCTAAATTTCATACATCAATGAATTTATTTCTTATCTAAAAAAAACAATGAGTAGCAACGTGATAGGATTCCTGGAAGCCAGCTTGTGATGTCTTTAGTATGACACCTAAACATACCAAAAGTTTGATGGACAAAGTTCCAACATTATTCCTTTATAAGAAAGTAGAAACAATACTTTCATTATAAAAAAGAGAGAGACATTATCTATTGTTGACATACTTTCATGAACAGAAAAGATAAAAAAAAAAAGAAAGGAATAGAATCTTTTTATCAGACGAATTGTTTTTAAAATCATTTGAGGCTTAAGCCTTGACCCGACGCGGCCTTGAGGTGCCTCAAGGCTAGTGGAATGCGTAAGCCTCTGGTATATTTTAAGAAGTGGGAGGTTGGCGGTAGTTATAATGGGGTGTAGAGTTAAAAAGGACGATTAATTACCGGGAAGTTTTACATTTAAACAATCTGACATTGTTTTGAAGTTAAAATCCCATTATTTTATGATTAAAAAGCAAGAGCTGGCACACTAAAACAAACCTAATTTTGTAAAAGGGTTGGATCTGTTCAAGACTTGTCAAGTGAAATGTTTGGTATTTGTATTTAAATACACAGAAGTCGTTATTTTCCATTTATTTTGTGCTTCATGCTTTAGCCTTAAAGGACCATCACACTCTAGTGCGCTTTGTAATATATATATACTTTCTGTTTTCCGGTTATGTTTTAGTTGGGTTGGTGGAGTATTTCTTCTCTATGTTGTTGGTTGGGTTATTGGATTTTCTCATTTCTAAATGTTTGGTACTGAAATAATATAATAACAAATTGCAGACTGCAATTGGGGGAGGTGGTGGAGATATCGGGAAGAAAATTAATCATGGTGGTGGTGACGGTGGAGATGATGATGGTGATGATGACGATTACTATGATGAATTTGATGATGGGGATGAGGGAGATGAGGGTGGCCTGTTTCGGAGAAGGAAATTTCTAGAAGAGGTATACAATTTATCAGCGATAAATCTGTTGCCATTAATTTTTGTGGGAATAATTTTAGCACTAACTTTGTATTTGCTCTAGCTTTTTGATCGTAAATTTGTAGATGCAGTTTTAAATGAGTGGCAGAAGACAATGATGGATCTGCCTGCTGGATTTCGACAAGCTTATGAAATGGTAGTGTATTTTTCCTATTAATATATTTTTTTTATGGGGGGAACAGGTTATATTTTATAATTTCCTTGTTAGTGTTAGTTGCTTTAGCCTTGAACATTGGCTAGATGCTGACAAATTATTTGTCCCAGGGTTTAGTTAGCTCGGCTCAAATGGTAAAATTCTTAGCAATAAATGCCAGGCCAACCACAACTCGCTTTATTTCACGAAGTCTTCCTCAAGGAATCTCACGGGCTTTTATTGGCAGGTGATTTTCTCTTAAAACCTCATGTGCAATTTAGAGGGCCTTTCTTTCTTTAGGTAATTGACTTCAATTCTTTTGCCAATTCACCGTTCTTGGAGGTGGAAACTTGGGCACTGTATTAGAAGATACCATTTCTCCAATAATAATCAATATCTTAGTATTAGATCCTAAACATATTTTTAAGCATTCAGATAATATAATGTCAAATTCTAAATTGTACTAGATATTTAATCTTGCTGTTATTACGTTTTATGGTTGAAGCCTTACTGGCCATTTATTCTCCTGATTATAATGTTCAGCTCTCTAGACAATTTTCTCTCTTTTGTTTTGGATAATAAATTGTTTAAGATAAAAGGCACACTATACTGAAGTCACAATTGCCAAACAGATGGTTGGGGTTTCAAATGTTTTAAGAATGCTAATGGCATTTTTTCTGTGGATCAAAAGCTGTCCAAAGTTTTGGAATTTCTAGAATTTTTTTAATAACAATTTGTTAAATTGTGGATCATATAGAATTGCCTACTCAAATCATTTTTCTCCAAGCAGTTTTCTCTTTCAGGTCGGATCCTGGGTCCTTTGGGCCATCTCCTCATCGGCTCCCATCAATTCTAAAGCTTTGAGTCTTTGACTCTCATTTGGGTCATAAGGCTGAGTGAGTGAGCTTAAAAAAATAATTATCTAGTTGACATTAATATCAAAAAAGGGTGCCTTGAAGTTCGAATCTCCACCCTCATGCGTAGGAAAAATAGCAAAGTGAAAAAATAGCAAAAGAGAGTAAGTCTAAAAAGCCTGTCTTAGAGAGAGCACAAGATGCAAGAAATTTGATGAACCCCAAAACTTCCTCCGGATTCTTTTTGGACCAAATTTCCAATGTAGATAATATTATATATTACATCAACAAATGAGTGATAATATTTCTTGATATTCAATATCAATTATGTGGACCAATATAGCTTTATTGGTTTCCTTTTACTTGAGGAAAGAAATTATTAAATCAACGATTAAATTTCTCAGATGGTTCCCAATTCTTGAAGGTTCTTTTACACGATCACTAGTTTCGTTTTGGTGAAAGATTTCGTGCTCTCTTTGGAGAAAAATAAATGTTTTCGACCTTTGATGGACAATATTATATATTTTTGCAGGATGTTAGCCGATCCTGCCTTTCTATATAGGCTTCTTTTAGAGCAGGCAGCTACAATTGGTTGCTCAGCTTGGTGGGAAATAAAGAACCGCAAGGATAGGTTTGTCATTTAGTCTTATGTTAAAACTTCATTTCATACTTTTATTTAATTTGCTTGGCTTACAAATTTTTGTACTGTTGGTGGCTCCAGGATAAAACAGGAATGGGATCTGGCGCTCATTAATGTTCTCACAGTAACTGCATGCAATGCTATAGTTGTCTGGTCACTTGCTCCTTGTCGTTCGTATGGAAATACATTCCGATTTGATTTGCAAAATACATTACAGAAGCTTCCAAATAATATATTTGAAAAAAGTTATCCTCTAAGGGAATTTGACCTGCAAAAGAGAATCCATTCATTCTTCTACAAAGCTGCAGAGTTGTGCATGGTCGGTATAACCGCGGGAGCAGCTCAAGGTGCTTTGTCCAATTTTCTGTCCCGTAAAAAGGAGGAAAGGTATAGTTCAAATCAGTTTTGGTAATAAAAATGATTATTATTGGGCGATCCATTTTTAATTGACTTGGAACTGTGTACTTGTTTGGCAGATTATCTGTATCAGTTCCGACTGTGAGCACCAATGCTCTCGGTTATGGCGCGTTTCTTGGGCTCTACGCAAATCTCCGGTATCAGTTACTATGTGGTTTTGACAGAGCAATGATCAGTCATTTTGATGTTATTGGAGTGGCTCTATTTTTCAGCTCTGCATTAAGGTCTGAACTTTTTTCTCCCTTGTGAAATTTTGTATAGCATTTATGTGCAAAGCCTTAAACTTGCCAGTTTTCTTTTTTTTTTTTGTTTTTAAATCTCTGGTTTAAACAAGGTGTTGAGTGATGTTATCCAAAATGACAGTGATAGGTAAAGAATGGTCGTTAACACTATTTTGAAATTATATGTAGGGTTCTGAATGTGCAACTGGGAGAAAGATCAAGACTGGCTTGGCTTGGGGTGGAGGCAGACCCACTGGTTCAGTCAAGTGACCTCTTGAAGCAGGTGTACAACCGACCTTCCGAGGGCGTTAATGAGCCTTCCTCAAAATGGTTTATCTCAAAAAACGCCATCATCTCTGGTCTTGGACTTCTCGGTGTCAAACAGACCGGTGCAGACTCCGTCTCTGAAGGTGAATCAATACCCAAAGCACGGAGGAAAAGAATTGTTCGGAAAAAGGTAACGGCAGGTTCGTCGTGATCTTTCATCCAATCAATGCATTCTTCATTACCCAGTTTTGCAGTATGACGATAGATTTGGTGCGAAGTCGCATAAATCTTTGATAAAGTTAGTTGCTAGGTGGATGGTATTTGCTTTGATGTAACCTGTGATCCAACTGGAAGGATTGATTTGAAACTGAAGTGATGCAATTGTTGTAAAATTTCGTTGGTAGGGATTTTTCTTTATTCTTTTGGTTAGTGTTCTCTACAACTTATATTCAGTGTTCCATAGTTTAGTGAATAAGGTTATCAAAGTAGTCTCATAATGAAACTACAACCTTACAACACATTTGACATTTTACCATTAGGAAACAAAGGGTAAAACTTATATTCCAAGCACAGAAAAATAAAGCCACGAGAGGAACAGAGAAGTATATAAGAGGCTCAACAATGTGCCATGTATGGTTAAAAATCTGAGACGTCCTCGAGGGCAGAGTTTGTCTTGTACACACTTTTGAATATGCCACGTGTCTGCGATCTACCAAAGACTGCCCCTCAATGACTCCGCAGTAAGAAAATTTCTAGTACTATGGGAGTATGAATAGTCCTTTCAAATACTCTTTTCATTTACCGAATGATTGCGTGTTAGACCTTTTGATTTGGTCCCTTAAGAATTTGGACATTCTCGTTTTGAGTCATTAAACAAGAGCCTAATCAAGATGTCTAGTTAAGAGAATGGTGCGCATGGTCAATTGACCAGTTGTAACACTAGCTATAACTCATTCAACACATGCATATCGAGCCATGATAATGGCGCAATGAATTGTAGGTGTACGCCTGCAATTTGCCCAGCAGTTTACGATCTATTGCATATAAGATATGGAGCAATTCGACCGAAGGTAAGGGAGAAAGCAGGAGAGATTTCATGAAGCATTACAACAGGCAAAACTAAAAAGTGGTTCATTGTGAGAATCATCATTGTCCAACGCGTTTTATGAATGTGTTACCCAAAGCCAAACTACAAAGATTGAGTCTAATCAAGGAGGGAGAAGAAAAGACAGGGTCTAAATGTTGATGTCGATGGACTTTTGTAGAAAAATTTTAAAAATAACAAATTCATATCAAATGTTTAAATTAACAAATAAGTATTTCACATTTATTAAATAAGTTCAAAATTATTAATATTTATATTATGTTAATATTTTGTCAACATATTTTTGCAATACTACATATGTTGATTCACCTCTCATGTTGATGTTGAACCCATGGGCGTATAATGTTGACGGAAATTTAATACTTTGAGTTCAAGTGGTTGACTTATGTTGTAACACATGGCTACACTAGATGAAGACAGTCTCTCCATAGTCTCTGATGTTCAGCGAAGTTAAACTCGACATCAAATTAGACTTTAGGTTTGAATAAACGTTGCAATTTTTATCTTCTTTTATTTTTTTTTTGGAAGAATTGTTCAAATATTCTCTCGTGTATGCAATGAATTACGAAATAATAATTGTAATTTAATGGCAGATCCAAAATTTTATCTCAAGGGACTTAATTCATTGGTATATATATATATATATGTATATATGTATATGTATATATGAGTTTTATATATTTTGATATTAAGATGCATAAATTACAAATTTTTCCTTTATGCTCCGTTTGACATTTGGAATTGGACAAAATTGATTTTAAATTCCAAGATTTCAAAAAAGATAGAAATGATTTCAAATTCTTAATTGCATTTGGAACCAAATGAATTTGAAATCATTGAAATTAAAATTTATTGTTTGGATGCCTACAAAAAATGAAAATGAAGTATAACATTTTACTATTATGTCATTTAATTCTACATGATATTGTATAAATAAATAATAATAATAATATAATATTTTAATATGAAATAGCAATGTCTAACTACATATAAAAATTAAATCATTTAATCAAATTAACTTAATAAATTAAAACTTGCAAATGAAATTATAAAAAAAAAACAAAAACAAAAAAGACTCGTAAATGGTCACTCTTGAAATATATATTTCTAAAAATTTGAAGGCAAATTATTTTAAATCTAAATCAAAATAATCAGCAAACAGAGTAGGTTTGGTTTTCCATTGAGAAAGTTGGCCATAGCGTCGTGGGAGAGAGCCGAAAAGGAGGACAAAACATAAAAGCGATTTAAAAATATATTCAATTTTTAAGCTATAAAATTGGAGGGTTTAATTTTTACCATGAAAGTTTATGGGTATAATTTTTAAATTTGTAAAAGTTTAAGGATTTAATTTTTACCATTCAAAGTTTAGGGGTGCAATTATAACAACAATCATACTTTAGGGGTGGTTTATACAATTTACCCTATTTTTTATTATCATATTATTTTTTTTCAAAATAATACTTCAACTAATAAAAATGCTAAAATAAAAACCAAAGATGGTTTAAAAAAAAAGTTAGAGATATTTTAAATGTATCAAACTATCCATCTCTTTGCAAATTTATTTGGAACTAAATTTTTTTTATCCAAATTAGTGTTATAAAAATTGAAATAAAAAGAAACAAAACTTATGAAGACATATAAGTAAAATAGAAAATCAACTTTTATTTTGATTGAATAGTGATCCAAAAATATGCACATAGAAGGGAGGCAAAAGACAAAATATATGCAATTTACCTAAAAAAGGGTAATGTGATTGATTTTTTTTTGAAAAAAATGAAAGATATATTTTAGTAGGATAAATTTGGAATTTGTTACCTTTTACTCACAAATCCTTCCAAATCCAACCAATTTGAAACGGAAAGTTTTTTTTTTTCTTTTAAACAAAAAGTGATTTCAAATACTTTTATGATTTTAAATTCCCTATTTTTCTTTACTAACCATAGAGCATAAATGATTTTAAAATTACTGAATAGAAGTTCCAAACGTAGGTTAACTTTCGCCTTTTAATTTTGAGTCTATTAGGCCCTTGAACTTTAAAGATATATTAAACAAAAAATTGAAAATTCGGACACCAATTAGATTTAAAATTGAAAGTTTGTAAACCTATTAGACATTTTTTTTTAAGTTCCTGAATCTTTTAGATATAACTCTGAAATCTTATGGATCAAATTTATAAATTAAGGGGTTTGTCCAATAGAAGGAGTATTAAATTTTCTATGTAAGTTTAGAAGAAAAAGAACAAGACATATAAAGATAATTATATTTCGTACTTACAAATATTTCAGATATTGACTTAAATTATTTAATATATAATATATATATATATATGTGTGGACCAAAATGTAGAAGTTTAAATTATTTACTCTAAATGAAAAATAAAGAAAAAAATTATTTAAAAAAAAGAGCTTTTAAAAGTCAAAAAATTCAAATTTAAAATTATACCAAATAAGAACAATCCAATGTTGAAATTTGATGATTTATAGATGAGGAAAAAAATATTCTAAAACAAATTGATGTAGATGCATAAATTTGGTTGGGTTGGTTGACCAAATATTGCACCAAAGGAACTTGACGTTGACTTGCAAAAAAGAGAAGACTGAACAAATTAGTGTGGTGCTAGCCACACATACTTCGATGTTTAAGTTAGAATCGAAGGTTTAAGAATGATATAGTTCTAAAGTAGGATTTTTCGTGTACAATCGCTAAGTAATTTCCCCTTTATTCATAGGAGTTGAATCATAGTCTCTCCAAAAAACCTAACTTCCTAGGCTTCAGATGTAGGGTCATCATGGGCTAGATAATGGGTGAAAAGGTCATCGGCCCATTATTAAACTTCATCGAGTGGGTTCAGGGGCCATCATTTTGGACGCTGGACGACTGTCGACTGATAACTAGTCGACAGCGACACCTGGTCTTAGTCGTTGGCCTCAGTCGATCGGACGTCGGATCTTGGTTGGTCGTGCCCTGTGCTACCATTGGTTCGTAGGGTTTCTGGATTCTGGCTTCAGTTCTCCTTTCTTCTAATTTGGGCCCATTTGAAATTTATTCCTTGCTGGAGAGTCTTCTTTCCCTTAAGCTGGCCCGTGGTTTGCTTTTTTGCTCACAAATTTGTAGAAAAATTCTTACAAATAAGACCCTCAATTTGGCTAAGAGAAATAAAATTGGAAGCACAAATATCTCTAAAATAAAATCTCCCACAACAAATTTAAAGGAACATTGAAACTTTTGGAAAGATGAATAATACATGGATTTGAGAGAAAATTGGGAGAGAAAATGTTATGAAATTTTGAGAGAAGTAGGAGTTTAAATAGAGGAGAAAAAGTTGGGAAGAAATTTGAAATCCAAATTAAATGTGGACCATTGGTTTTGAAAGGATTAAAAACCAAATTAATTGAATATAATAATAATAATAATAATAATAACAACAAAAACCCTCCCAACGGCTCCTTCACATTTTTCCTTTTTTTTTT